TGATGTGATTGATTCTATATACTCAGCTCCTTTGGGTCAGAGAAGGTATTGAATGTTTCTATGTACTCAGCATCTCCAGGGCAGGGTTTGACATGAATGATCCTCTGTACTCGGCTTTTCTGAGGCAGGGAAATGACATAAATGGTTCTATGCACTCAGCTCCTCTGAGGCAGAGATTGATGTGAACTATTCTATATACTCAACTCCTTTTGGGCAGGAAATGTAGCTCCTCTAGGGCAGGCAATGTAGTGAATGGTTTTATGTACTCAACTCCTCTAGGGCAGGCAATGTAGTAAATGGTTCTATGTACTCTGCTCTTCTGAGGCAGGGAATGACATGAATGGATCTATGTACTCAGCTCCTCTGGGGCAGAGATTGATGCGAACTATTCTATATACTCTGCTTCTCTTGGGCAGGGAATGTAGCTCCACTGGGTAAGGTAATGTAGTGAATGGTGTATGTACTCTGCTTTTCTGAGGCAGGGAATGACATGAATGGTTCTATGCACTCAGCTCCTCTGGGGCAGAGATTGCTGTGATTGATTCTATATACTCAACTCCTTTGGGTCAGAGAAGGCATTGAATGGTTCTATGTACTCAACTCCTTTGGGGCAGGCAATGTAGTAAATGGTTCTATGTACTCAGCTCATCTGAGGCAGAGATTGATGTGAACTATTCTATATACTCAGCTCCTCTTGGGCAGGGAATGTAGCTCCAGTGGGTAAGGTAATGTAGTGAATGGTTCTATTTACTCTGCTTTTCTGAGGCAGGGAATGACATGAATGGTTCTATGTACTCAGCTCCTCTGAAGCAGAGATTGATGTGAACTATTCTATATACTCAGCTCCTTTTGGGCAGGAAATGTAGCTCCTCTAGGGTAGGCTATGTAGTGAATGGGTCTATGCACTCAACTCTTCTAGGGCAGGCAATGCAGTAAATGGTTCTATGTACTCTGCTCTTCTGTGGCAGGGAATGACATGAATGGATCTACATACTCAGCTCCTCTGGGGCAGAGATTGATGTGAACTATTCTATATACTCAACTCCTTTTGGGCAGGAAATGTAGCTCCTCTAGGGCAGGCAATGTAGTGAATGGTTCTATGCACGCAACTCCTTTGGGGCAGGCAATGTAGTAAATGGTTCTATGTACTCAGCTCCTCTGAGGCAGAGATTGATGCGAACTATTCTATATACTCTGCTCCTCTTGGGCAGGGAATGTAGCTCCACTGGGTAAGGCAATGTAGTGAATGGTGTATGTACTCTGCTTTTCTGAGGCAGGGAATGACATGAATGGTTCTATGTACTCAGCTCCTCTAGAGCAGGGATTGATGTGATTGATTCTATATACTCAGCTCCTTTGGGTCAGAGAAGGTATTGAATGTTTCTATGTGCTCAGCATCTCCAGGGCAGGGTTTGACATGAATGATCCTATGTACTCAGCTTTTCTGAGGCAGGGAAATGACATAAATGGTTCTATGTACTCAGCTCCTCTAGAGCAGAGATTGATGTGAATGATTCTATATCAGCTCCTTTGGGTCAGGGAAAGTATTGAATGGTTCTATGTACTCAGCTCCTCTGGGACAGGGTTTGATAGGAATGATTGTATGTACTTAGCTCCTCTGGGGCAGGGTTTGATACAAATGATTCTATGTACTCAGCTCCTTTGGGGCAGGGTTTGATACAAATGATTCTATGTACGCAGCTCCTTTGGGGCAGGGTTTGATATGAATGATTCTATGTACTCAGCTTCTTTGGGGCAGGGTTTGATATGAATGATTCTATGTACTCAGCTCCTCTGGGGCAGGGTTTGATATGAATGATTCTATGTACTCAGCTCCTCTGGGGCAGGGTTTGATACAAATGATTCTATGTACGCAGCTCCTCTGGGGCAGGGTTTGATACAAATGATTCTATGTACTCAGCTCCTCTGGGGCAGGGTTTGATACAAATGATTCTATGTACTCAGCTCCTCTGGGGCAGGGTTTGATATGAATGATTCTATGTACTCAGCTCCTCTGGGGCAGGGTTTGATACAAATGATTCTATGTACTCAGCTCCTTTGGGGCAGGGTTTGATACAAATGATTCTATGTACGCAGCTCCTTTGGGGCAGGGTTTGATACAAATGATTCTATGTACTCAGCTCCTCTGGGGCAGGGTTTGATACGAATGATTCTATGTACTCAGCTCCTCTGGGGCAGGGTTTGATACGAATGATTCTATGTACTACTCAGCTCCTCTGGGGCAGGGTTTGATACGAATGATTCTATGTACTTAGCTCCTCTGGGGCATGAACTGACATGAATGACTGTGTGTTTTTATTTTACATGCTGCTTAGTACGTTAGATGTATTATCACAGCAGAAGGAATCAGACTAATGACACAAATTCATGATTTTGATATATTTTAACATCTCAAGAGCGGATACAGTGTGTAAATATTAAAAATACATCCAGACACATTCGATTTATAAACAGACCTTTGTGGTCGTTTTAAGTCAAATAGTGAATTAATTTCATATGATTTATTACCTCCTTCCTGCGCTCAAGACACAGATAATAAGTAATGATGAGCCCGTAATAACGCCGTATTTAAGTATTACGAAAATCTAATCCACAACGGGCTGTGTTTGTGCAGATTGCTAAGCTTGTTATACATGAAAATGTGTCTATTTAAGGAGCATTCAACGAGCAGCTTACAAAATTCTACAACAAGTTAAAATGCATTAATCACGGCACTCCAGCGCCCGTACCTTGGGGAGTCTTCTTGTGTTTGTAACGCCAGGCTGCTACCGACGCTGGATTATTCATAAACTAACGATTGTGCCGCAGTCGCCAGAAAGCAGAACGAAAATTAAAGGGGGGTTCTAGCTCCGATCAGATTGAGAAATAGAAATATGAGTTTTGAACTGATTCAGGGAATAGATGTTTTTGCCGTACCATTTTCACTTGAGTATTTATCTTGTGCCAGTAGATGGAAAGGTGAAAAAAATGGAGCTGGATCACCAAAATGGTGGATTTGTGTGAAGTTGGATGTATTAAGATGCTTCAAAATATTGGGAAGACTGGCCACCTTTACCGAAGGTTCTGCAAGAACTCTTCAGATTAAATCCATCCTTCGCCCTCTTTAATCACTTTACACAAGTTTTCTCCTTACCTCCTCCTGTTGAATAATTGGATATTATTATTGTTATTATATTTATTTTTTGTTCTTTAAATACCTTGTTCAGGATGTTAAGGATGGGTCCTGAACAGGTTCTATGTCTCACCCACTGGGTTGTGTTCCCTTTGGTATACTCTTCCCTTTGTGTTCACTTTGGTATACTCTTCCCTTTGTGTTCACTTTGGTATACTCTTCCCTTTGTGTTCCCTTTGGTATACTCTTCCCTTTGTGTTCCCTTTGGTATACTCTTCCCTTTGTGTTCCCTTTTGGTATACTCTACCCTTTGTGTTCCCTTTGGTATACTCTTCCCTTTGTGTTAACTTTGGTATACTCTTCCCTTTGTGTTCCCTTTGGTATACTCTTCCCTTTGTGTTCCCTTTTGGTATACTCTACCCTTTGTGTTCCCTTTGGTATACTCTTCCCTTTGTGTTAACTTTGGTATACTCTTCCCTTTGTGTTCCCTTTGGTATACTCTTCCCTTTGTGTTCCCTTTGGTATACTCTTCCCTTTGCGTTCCCTTTGGTATACTCTTCCCTTTGCGTTCCCTTTGGTATACTCTTCCCTTTGCGTTCCCTCTTGGTATACTCTTCCCTTTGCATTCCCTTTTGGTATACTCTTCCCTTTGCATTCCCTTTTGGTATACTCTTCCCTTTGCGTTCCCTTTTGGTATACTCTTCCCTTTGCGTTCCCTTTTGGTATACTCTTCCCTTTGCGTTCCCTTTTGGTATACTCTTCCCTTTCCGTTCCCTTTGGTATACTCTTCCCTTTGTGTTCCCTTTTGGTATACTCTTCCCTTTGCATTCCCTTTTGGTATACTCTTCCCTTTGCGTTCCCTTTTGGTATACTCTTCCCTTTGCGTTCCCTTTTGGTATACTCTTCCCTTTGCGTTCCCTTTTGGTATACTCTTCCCTTTGCGTTCCCTCTTGGTATACTCTTCCCTTTGCGTTCCCTTTGGTATACTCTTCCCTTTGCGTTCCCTCTTGGTATACTCTTCCCTTTGTGTTCCCTCTTGGTATACTCTTCCCTTTGTGTTCCCTCTTGGTATACTCTTCCCTTTGTGTTCCCTCTTGGTATACTCTTCCCTTTGTGTTCCCTCTTGGTATACTCTTCCCTTTGTGTTCCCTCTTGGTATACTCTTCCCTTTGTGTTCCCTTTCGGTATACTCTTCCCTGTGTGTTCCCTTTCGGTATACTCTTCCCTTTGTGTTCCCAATGGTATACTCTTCCCTTTGTGTTCCCTTTCGGTATACTCTTCCTGTGTGTGTTCCCTTTTGGTATACTCTTCCCTTTGTGTTCCCAATGGTATACTCTTCCCTTTGTGTTCCCTTTGGTATGTTCTACCCTTTGTGTTCCCTTTGGTGTACTCTTCCCTTTGTGTTCCCTTTTGTATTCCCTTTGGCATCCTCTGGTATACTCAGGGGTTCTCACCTGTGCAGGGTGAGAAGTTCCGGGGTAGTTCAATAATAAAGGAGAGCAGTAGGTTGCCTTGTGTCCAGGGCAAAGATGGCATTATATTTTTAAATATATTCTTCAGATTTTTGTTCACATATAAAAAAGTCATTTTACATATATGTTTACAAAAATTTGTAAATGTGTTCCAAAAATGTAGATTTGTATTTTTAAAGACACGCAGTATATTTGAAATGTATTTTTAAAAATATTTTTCATATATTGTGTAATAAAAACACATTTCAGCATGCAGTATATATATATTTTTATTGAAATATATTTTGAAATATATTGAATATGACCGAAATTGTATCATTTCAAATATATTTTTCTTCCATGTGGGCATAGAGGTGTTGCCCATCAAAATGACCTTTAGTCATTCTGAACCAATGGACTGCAGACATAGTACAGGAGATGACCAGAGACTGCGGACACAGTACAGGGGATGACCAGAGACTGCGGACACAGTACAGAAGATGACCAGAGACATGCGGACACAGTACAGGAGATGACCAGAGACTGCAGACACAGTACAGGAGATGACCAGAGACTGCGGACATAGTACAGGAGATGACCAGAGACTTTCAATGGGGACATTAGGTCTGGTGACACATTGGGATTCCCTCACTTTGGAGGGATTTCCTCTCACTTCCTGTTTTGGCTATGGGGCAGGAATTGAAGAGAAATCTTCCCGAAGGGACACTATTCGACTACAGGACGATAAACCTTATCTCCAGCCAGGGGCGAACTGACCATTTGGAAACTCGGGCACTGTCCGAGGGCCCAGGGTCAG